GTCTTTCACCCTCGGCTTGTAATGGTTGCGAGGCCCGCACAACAGGTAGACGCGCCCCACCGGGCGCGTGCATGGTTCTGTTGGGTCTTGGCCGAGGTGACCGCATTCTTCAGCCTCGAGGTTTGTGCATTCCAATGAACCCCGAGTCAGAAAAGAAAGGGACCCACGCGAAGCACAGTGAGTCTCGTTTCCTGCCCCAACGACGACAGGTCTTACACACAGAGACACAGTGAGTTGTCCTCCGGCAAGAAAGTCCCCCTCACGAGTTTCGTTGCGCGCACGTGTGAAAACCAGACATTGTACTTTAATGCCGCGCACGTTCCTTAGCTTTTATTATTACCCTGCTACGCGTGAAGAGAAAGAGAGAGAGAGAGAGAGGCAGGCACTTGTTGAGGGAACGACGTGAGAAAAAACCACCCGAGTTATTCCGGAATTGGGTTATACGAGCTGCTGCGGCTTTTGCATATTCAATCTGCTCGCGAACCTCCCTCACGCCTTTTTGGCCGCCGCAGCGGCAAAACGTGGCTAATCCCTCGGATATAATGCGCCGTATAATTAACCACTTTGCTCGCGCTTATTTACGTGTAATGTAAAATTTTTTTCCAACTCGTTCTTTCTTTTTCTTTTAACGTCACGGCAACGACGCACACGCTCTTAATATAGAAGTATATTTATGGGCGTTAGGCAAGTTATATTTATTTAGCGGGTTGCGCTGCGATGATTCAAAGGCGCGCGGAATGCATTTCAATGTTGATGGCCCCGTAATTGTAGTTCTGATTTACATGCGCACAGTTATCGTTGCTCGTGATCGTCGTATGGCGCTCGCGCGCGAGCTGCGGCAACAGCAGCTGCTGCTGCTGCTGCTGCTTCCTGCACTCTAATTATTACTTGTAAAATCTTACAACTTAGTAATGAAATACAGCGCGCGTCATTTAAACCAACCGCGTTATTAGAGCCGACGCAGTGTCACCCCTTTACCTATAACGCTAAAGAGGCTAATGTTCACGATTTAATTTGTATACATTGAATTACTGCGGCAGACAGCTGTATGCGCTGTATAGTAGACATAACTGATGAAATAAAGCTTTATTACTAGAGTAGAGCTGACCTTTTTGTGTAAAAGCAAGCACAATTATGTAACATTTACAGTTCACGAGTGCAATTGATTATGGCGATCGGAAATAATTAATCGCAGTTGTGGAACGAAATAAAGGAGCATTGACCAAATTCTGTTCCACCCTTTTCATGGCACATACATAGCTATTCTTCTTCGGCAAGTCAGTTGTATTTGAATAGGGGGCTGAATTGAAATGCCAAGTTGAATTAAATTCCTAAAGTTTTGTAAATACTCACGAGGGGAGAGAAGGATATCAAAGTCGAGATTGAGATTGGCACTCAGTTCAGAAGTGCCCTTACAAACGAAATGGCATTGAAATGTCTATGTTGAGCTGGAAGAGAGGCGCACGTGGCCGTTAAAAAAAGGACATCTAAGAAACCGGATACCCCTGTAACTGCCGCAAAATCAATCCGAACGGCAGCGCCCGAGGTACTATGGGCTCGACCCTGCACGTGCGAGCGAGCTCATTTGAGATTATTGAGAAAATGTGCTGCTGCACCTTTTCCTAATATATAAAAGTCCTTTCCAAGAACTTGACTGCTTCGTCTTTGAACATTCCTTTGACGGAGCTGCAGCTCGTAACGTACGCTACTGTTAGCCCGAGAACAGACGCCTCGCATGCTTAATCGGACGATGTAGATTATGTGGCTCGCGCTCCTTTACGACGGCCAAGCAGCTCGCACAAAGGGATTACACCTACTGCGCCCGCGGGCAACAGATTGCCAAGAGCTAAGCCGACAGTGAAATGCGAATCAGTGCCTCCTCTCTCTCTCTCTCTCCCTCCCTCTCTCTGTGCTCATCGCACTGGAATCGAAATTTATCGTGTGTTATGTACTGCATAGTTGCCGTTACCGCCGCAAACGCAAATCCAACGTTATTTTTCCTTCTCCACCGCAGTTGCCGACTTTCCTGTCGGATAATTAGAAGGTGTCGCTTTATTAGCGCCCCCAAGCCACCTGACTGCACTTTCTTGCTTGCACACAGGTTCTCCGTGTCGCAGAGTTTGCGATTCGTCAAAACAATGCGAAAGCCGTGTGCACAAGTATGCAAGCAATTTGCGATAAGTGGAGCGCTTGCACACTCGTTGAGCTCGGCACGGCACGGACGTTTTCGCGAAATCGATATGCCCAGATGGAAAATATTATTTTAAAAATTATGATGATGCCTCGGAGCACTTTCTATCGTGTATAACGCATAGCGTGCGAACTCGGCATAAATCATTCGTCACACGAGATGTACCGCTTTCTTGCTCGGTACGCTCTGCGCTATTATCGAGCTATACAATTACTACTCAATTAATTCACTTCGGCGCGCAAACCTAAGCTCGCCTATCAGCAGCACCAAAGCGAGTCAATAGCAAGTCGATGATTGGAAAGCTTCATAATAACTTAATTGCCCCTAGCGGTGAAGAAACGTCACATAACTGCTGTGCACGCCAAGTATTTCACTTACAAGCGAATATACCAGCCCAGAATGTGTAAGCATAAAGACAATGGGGCGCTGTCAAGGTGGTTCACCGAGTCCCACATAGCAAAACTTGAATCGTAAACTACACAGACAACCTATATCTATATTGGTATACATATCCTTTCGGGATCGTTGCATAGCAATAATCAATATTTATTAGCCACTCGTACCCGTCTATCTTCGCGATGACTCCATCGTGAAAACTTGGAATGTGTAAATATTACATTATTAAAATTTTCAAAATCATAGTTGACATTTTCACAGGAATTTTATTAGAGAACCTTTTATTTTTCGCGTTCACTAATTCGCTACAATCGCTGTACATTTATACAACAATTACGGGGCATTAGAGAGTGAGATCATAGGAATTTTGGCAAAAACTGCTGAAGACGAGACTGTTGCTTCCCTTTCTTAATAGCATCATGCATAAAAATGTTCCCATAGTAAACAATATAATGAAATGAAATGCACGTACATAATTTCTCACAATTTACAGAGAGAGAGAGAGAGAGAGAGAGAGAGAGAGACAATTGAATTACACGCGATTACGTAAATTAAATATTATGTCCTTGATAGTTGCGATTAAGCGTTGATTCTGCTAAATGTTTGAAATGAGGTAGCAGCAAATGAAGGAAAAAAGAAAAAAATTAAAAACGAGTGTGCCAAGCTGTAAGAGTCGTGGCAAGCGATCCTACAGAAGCTTATCTCAGCGAAAAGAAAAAGAAAACGAATCAGCCCTCTCAGCAGAGTTGAAAAAGTTGGCCGCGTAGCTGTTGTCGTAAAAGGTGTAATTGCTATCTTTCGTGAAGCAAACGCCGGTGTGCTGTTTCAGTTGGCTAGGCTCTAGAGTAGCGCAACGAAACCTCGCGTTCCATCTTTGCCGGCAGCTATATAGCGAAAGAGAGAAGGAGAAATACGTATTGCACTTGGAATCGGAAAGTCGTCACGGTCAGTCAGCTCGCGTAATCGAACCACGCGCACTCAACGGTTGCATCTCTTTCGCCGGCGCGAGTGCTGTTATTGTCGCCGAGACACCGAGCACCACCGCCGGTTTCACGCTCGCTGACAGAGCAATGGGCTAACAGTTTGAACGCCCGCTCGAGCCAATGATCTCCGAGCCTTTCCTTCGGAACGGTTGAATTCGTAAAAATCGTCCGGTCGGCTGCACCTTTTTCTTGTACGTAGACGCGCGGCGCACTTTCTGTTATTTCACGCGGACTTGGCTTTGTGCGCTCTCCTTTTTCTCCGGCTACGATTTTCCCACTGCACGTTCTTTTTTATCGCTTGTTTGCTTGATGCGCTTTCTGCAATGTGCTTTTAATTGACACGATTTCCTAACGAAACCACTTTTTAGCGCAGTCCATTGACTTAGTTCCAAGTTGCCGGCATCTATTATCAAGCGTAAGAAATAATTGCTCGGAAAAAGGGGGCATTAGATAGCTGAAAAGATGAGAGTTGCACACTAATAGATCTTTCTTACGTGAAATTTATGAAAGAAATGGCCAATCTCTTTTGAAGAACATTCGGCTTTAATATCAAATAATAAAAACTTGGCAACTCTTTTTGCTCTTACCAGATTGCTTGTTAATGATCTCTCGCGAGGAAAGTGTTTATTTTTTATACACCATGCTAAAAACAACTACCAGCAAATGCACCCTGATGTAATTAACTTTTTGCGATGAAAACTGCATTACACAGCAGTCCACATTCATCGATTTTGTCATTAAAACTAGCAACTGAAATAATTTCGCTTCCGAAATACCAAAGCGGAACAAGATAACGTTCGGTATTATTATATAGTATCTGTTGCATGGAAAATACAAGTACGAATACTCTACCAGCAGGAATAATATCATTTAAAAAGCAGTGTCTCTCGTATTCGACATTCAGCAGTAACAGTACTTTTTGAAATATATTGAATCCATAAAATACATTTTCCAAGTGAATAAATCTTTGCGGAAAGTTATTTTTGTACCCTCTTCTGCAATGATGAACTCGTATTTGCGCTGTGTTCCATTTATTTCCTTTAAAAATTATAAACTGTCTCGACTAGTGCTGAGGAAATAAGTGCGATGCTTTAAATGCAATAACTTGATAAGCATCGAAACTTTGTAATCGAATTTCACGCCTTTTCCTTTGCTGATTTGCTATATACGTACTCCTGCAATAGAACACGTAAGGTTTTTCTTCGATGGTTTGCGCGGATGTGAGAAAATCACTACAACTGACCTACTTTTTTGCTACTACTTTCTATTACTATCAACATTGATGTTTGCACTGTAAAGCTGTAATATTATTGAATAATACTATTATACCATTATGAAATAATGTAGACACTCACGCATGTATAAGTCAACTCTACTGAAAAAATAAATGATCCGTATGAGAAAGAATGTTTTATACAACAAATTTCTTATGATAATGAAGTATAAATATCTTTATTCACTATTCCTTTAGAATTACAACAATTATTACTTCGCGTGCTCTATTCCATGATATTCCTATTTACCAGTAGTAAGCATTTTTTAAATGCATCAATCATCCAATCAAAGTGAACTGTTACAAAATCATTATTTCGTCCAAGAGAGAGAGAGAGACAGAGAATGAAAGCGAACTCTTACGCTAAAATGGTAACCAGAAAGCTTCCGTCTGTCGGCGGCTTGATAAATGACGTACCGCCACTTTATCAAACGCGTAATTACAATCTAGCATTTTAAACGCTTTGCACCATTGTTTGACTAGAGCATATAGATGCACATACAAAGTACACGTCCAAACTGATTGCAACTCTATAAATATTCATTTTACACATAAACTTAGCACCAACGTGTCCGACTACTTACAATCACGTTACATCGAGCATTCATGACATACTCTACATAGTACGTTTAGTAATTTGAAGACTTGTCGAAAAATTATTTAATTATTATACAGTTTGAAATAAAAAATTGTCAGATGAATTTTCAATACCGCATTTATTACAGAGTTCGGTAACTTTTTGTCTGTTTTCGCTTGAGTGAATATATGTCAAATGAAACCTATTCAGTTAACTTTTTTGCTTACTTTAATCGCAGTATTATATGCCCCACGTAATAACTGTCATGCATCGCTTCATTCATTTTACCTCAAACTTGTTTAGAGTGACACTTGAAACTGGTAGGTAGTACATTTACTCGACTAGTAATACGCTTTTGAAAGTTTTAGTGCAATAACTCATAGACGAAATCTTGAATAAGTAAGTTTTAGCTTTGATCCTAAGTATATTTCGGATAACGTAACATTCTTTTCAACTTATTTGATATTTTAAATATAACTGGCAATACTTGCACCTATGTACTAAAGTTGAATGGCTCTTTAAGAATTCACAAACAATCGTTATTTTTATGTAATCAATCTTTTCTAGCAATAGTAATTGAGCTGAAATAAAAAAATTAAAGTATAACGCTCTCCGACGTTAGAGTAACGTTAAAAAGTTTTTGAAATGCACAGGAAATAAAAAGGGTTGCTCTATATACGTTCGTTGAAAATAAAATTGAACAGAAGAGACATTTTTTACGAGCAGCTAGAGATTTCGTACCCTCGATTGATAGTAACAATTTTATTTGCCAGCCATAAAATCAAACGAGCTAACGTACACGTGTCAATCCCTATGCGCGCTTAAGGCCAAAATTGCAGCTCGTCACAGGTGGGATCGTCGTCAAGGCTGAGAGGGCAGTACTCCTCCTCCGAGATGCGCTCCAGGTCGTAAACGTCGATCATTGGCTTGAAGGGCAAATCCTTCAGGGAAATCCCATCGAAATCCTCGTTGTCAGCTTCGAAATCATCAATAAAATCCCGATAGTCATCCTCCCGACCGAACTCGAAAAATCTGGCAGTGTCCTCGAAATCGTCCTCGGTCAGTTGTAACATCGGGATTTTCAATCGTTGTTTAATCTTGCGCTCAGTAGTCACTTCTGACTTCGCTATAATCTTCGGCCTCTTCTTAGCTTTCGTCTTTTTCGGTGCATGCGGTGACGATTGCTTTTCGTCTTCTTTCGGCATTTCCCCCATCTCTTGCTGTGGTTTCCGTTCAAGAGCTGGTGTTTTTTCGGCACGTTCAGTTTCGCTGAAATTCGATGACTCGTCGATTTGGTAATCCCTGCGACATTTTGAAATTTGTGGAAATAAAAAAAAGAGAAAAAAAGAAAAAAAGGAAAAATCTAAAAACGTCAATTGAACAGCTTTTCGATTGTGCAATTGCTTGATAATGAAATTGAAATGATCGTAATGCAGCCAGAGTCGAGTACTGTTAGTCGACCGTGACTTCTCGGCAAATGACACGCAGAAATAAACAAGCTTAAAAATCCGCAAGAATGACAATCGGCGCGATAAAGAGGCAGAAACAAAAACAATAATTACCGAATAGCCTCTGGGGACGGCGACGGCATTTCCATTGAGAGCATGGTCGCGTCTACGGGACTATCGTGGAATACCGGTTGGTCGGTATGCGCTGGCCTGGCAACCTCGATTTCGGCTGCACCTGCTTCAAAGTCAGCCAGCCCACTTTCTTGGCTTTTCACCTCTAGCGCGACGAGCTCTGCTTTATCGATCGGATAGCGGGGAGATATTTCGGCAAGCCGCTGCTGCGTCGTCCCGGCGATAACATCGCTCGCAGCTTTGTCGGCAGTGGTGTAGGCGCGCACGTCATCGCGCATTCGCGGGTTTCTTTGATATTCTTCTTCGAGGTAGCGTTGAAATTGACCCTTAAAGTAGTTGTCCACGACTTTCCAGAGACTCGCGCTGTACCAGCCGATCACGCCCAAGAGGAAGACGCCACGGAGCAGTAACGCGAGCATTATCCCGACTAGCCCGAGGATATTGGTCTTCGCCTCGAAAGCTTTGACTTGGGCCGCCGATGAGGATTAGCGTTGAGCCTGCGCGCCCGCGCTCGGCCTGCAACGTGCGAGATAGTTATTTTAGACGGAACTTTGAGCACATTTATAATTAGCTTGGTGAGCTTAATACGCAATTATGTATCTGCCTACCAAGTGATCAGCTCTTTACATATAACATAATCTCGATTAGTTGATCGTCACTGTAATCGTACTAAACTGACTTCTATTTTAATAACTACACTTGAATGGGAAATTACATTGATATCGATTTAAATGCACAAACCAGTCTTTTGAATATCAGTAATTTACCTTCCGCTACAGTTTCCAAGGCGAAATATTCAATTGCTCTCTACTCTTCTTCTCCATAAATAAGTTCCAAGATAATATTGTAGCTCTGTTTCATCTGCGGCCAAGCCATAGTGATAAGTACAACAAGTGAATTGGCCAGAACAAAAAGTTTCATCATATCAACCCCATCGGTCGAGCGCAGCCAGTCTCCAAAACCCTGATTATCTGCTTCATCGTCATTCGAGATTATCGAGCATGATTTGTCCTTTGACTTTTTATTTTCCTTTGAGTTGCACTGATTATCAGGCTGCCGGCTTGATTTGCTGTCTTTCACTGAGCTGTCGAAAGTTATGCGCTTCTTGGCTATGGAACGAGTTTCTCGTCTGTAAAGCATAATTGTTTTTAGGCTTTCTCTACAAATTCTCTATTCGCTTTCAGCTTATCAAAACGTAAAAGTACGAAATAAAAAAATTACGGTGAATTGAAAATCGATGCAGTCTAAGTCTATACAAGTAATAGTTTTTGTCTAAAAATGCTCAATGCTTTGCAAACCACGTAACAAACAGATTTATAATTTACGTGTTTATAATGCGATTCAGATAGAAGAATGTATTTATTCGAACAATAGCATAAAGTCTATACAATATTTGTTTGTATTATTGATGTAACCTGCTTTTATTCCACGCAGACTAATATATAATATCCAAACGTCTCATAACAGGCACGTATATCGATGACAGATACGCGCGCGCGTATAATTACTTCTTCGCTTGCGGTGCCCCTTATATTCTCTACTTTCGTAAGTCATAAAAGAAAATGGAGCTGGCTGATCGATCCTCATAAATCCAGAAATTCAGCAGGAGACAAGCCGTCAAATGAAAAAATTACTGAGGAAGAAAAATGTGCGTGGACATCAAGGACATTGTAAATCTTTAGCAAAAAGATGTAAGAACTCTTATGTTTGGGTTGCTAAATTTTCCGTGGAAAAAAGAAATTAATAATATATTCATCTGGCAGTGAATCCGAAAAAAAGTTGGTGAAAATAATTGTTGAAAACGTATTAGATCGTGAAACTTATGACAAATTAAGAGGTTGAAGATACGTTCAGCTTGTTTGAATAGTTAATTTTCACAGTTGCGAAACTCCTTGCTGAAGAATGTAAACGCGCAACAATGCTTGCCGCGCAGCAAATGCACGACCGAATTTCTCTGGTGACGCGCGGCTCGAGCGAAATCTGTGGTCAGTTGCTGGTCACTGCCTCCCTAGCCAAGCGCGAAATAGCCAGGCTGCCCTGCAGAGACGCCAGGAAAGCTAATGTTATCAGCTAGATGCAGACTTGCTAGTGCTTGCTGCATTCAGCGAAATTCCCACTTGTATCGGCCTTATTTCGACGCTGCCCGGCTGTGTATACACTCCATCAAATTACTTTGGCTGAACTACTTTTATTTCGACTATTTGCGAGTTTGACAATTTTTCAAAATTTACTTCACCTTTATTTTTTACATTTAATTCAATAATTTTGAAACGTCATCAAATTAGAGCGACGTATGCTTGATTCGTTCGTTGTAAATTTAATGCTATTGTATTATCTGAATGCATAATACTACGCATCAACGATGTATAACACCATATATTATCCAATAATCTCTCGAAAAATTAGTTCGTTTGTCCATCAAAATATCGATCACGGGCTTGACACGACAATTTATATTACATAACACTATCAGTTTCCATGAATTTCATTCATAAATTTATCAAATGTCGGGAAATTCACGACGAGCTCCGGCTCAGTCCCGTCGGTCCATCCCGAACTTGCTATTGCTCTTTGTCAATGGCATCGCATATTTATCGAATTATCTCCAATTTCCAATTTTCCCGATATGATGCCCAAAGTCCTACAACGTTTATCGAGCTAACTGAACTGCACTGTCCACTCGTATATAATACACACAGAGCATCGCAGGACATACGGACGAGTATATATCGAACGCGACCACAAAGTTTGTGGTTCCATTATTCTCATTTGATCGGGAGCTAGCGAGAGGTAATGGACCGTCGAACTTAGCCGTGGAACGACAAAAACGCTTCGCCACCGCCAACTTTCAGGTGCTGCTGGCAACCGACTATCAGGACATTCGACTACTAAGCAAAATGACCGTCGCTTGTAGTCCTGACCCATGCTCTCTATTCGTCATACGATCTCCTCTCCCGAATTTCCAGATCTAAACTTTGAGCTCAACGATTATGTAGTAAGTGATTGCTTTCGCAATTTTTTAGTCGATTCTCGTAATTCGCCCTATATACGAGCAAATGTTCATTACAATAACGAAAAATACTAATAAGAACGTACCAAATAACTTTGTTCATATCTTCATTTAATCTTTCAATAAATTTATGAGTTTTTCAATGGATTATTTAATTCAATTTCATATTCGAGGTGAATTTCAGTACCATAATGTTTCTTATGCATTATATTTTATTTGAAATATGTTACTTGAAAATACAATACATTTTTCACGAGTTTTAGAAAAAAATTGTTAGAACAAAGCTAAAGCTTTAGTTTGATGCTCTTGTCCAGACGAACTTTGCACAGCTTTTCTCTACTTTCGTGGATTTTTTCTATTTTTTTTCGTGCAAACTAGTGCATTTAAATTTATTCATATCTCAGTTAACGTGTGTGAAAGCTCTGCAGCACTAGCCAGATTTTCGGCTTCTACGCGTAAAACTTTTCGAATGTATGAAATTGCATGTAAACAAAAATATCGTAGAAAATATGTATGCGTTATTAAAGTAAAAAATAGGAAAATAAAATTTTTCTATTAATTCTGTTACTAATTCGATCAAGCGAATTAACTAGCAAAGACAATAAGAAATAATGAATATCCAATGATTTTTACCCCTTACTTAGTCCGAATGCCGTCAAACTCGACAGTGTCCATCGTAGTAGTACTAGCAGCCACGAGTGGCGGAGTGTCGAGTAGAAACGTATGCGTCCACGCAGGCGGGAGGCTGATTATATCGATACCATGCGACCGACGTTTCAACGGTTTGCTCCCGCAACTGTAGCCTGTAGGAAATTGGATTGGGCCAAATATGAGGTGTGTGACAGAAACACACCAGCCGATGCTAACAGGATAGATCGTTGTGCAACACGCATTTCATTCCGAGAGGCCGACTCTGTCTCTCACTCAGTTCAATTTTGCAGTTAATCAGTGCAATACGCGCAAGCCACACAGAACTCTCATATAGATTATTTCGTTTGCTGATGACTCACAGATTTTTTGTCAACCGTACTGCAGCTGCTGGAGGTATATATGCAACTTGCGAAGACTTGTGAGAGCTTTTCTGGCGTGCCAGACGCAAAAAAGAAGTCTTTTCGGTTTGATTTACGATCCGGACACACGCGCCGGCCACTGACGCTCGAGTACACTCGCTAAAGGAACTGCTGTGGGCGAGCTACCGGGTTCCTCGTCCGTCAACTTGTGACGAGCATTAAAAAAGCTGCTAAGGTTTCCTTAGCCATGTAGTCTTGTTCGCTTATGCCTCTTACGTATATGTACCAAGATAATCGCATTAGCGATGCCCTACGGCTGCAGAAGTTCTTATTCCTATTGGTTTTCTTTTCTATATACTTCCCGAGGCAAACCGCGTCATTAGGTCAATTTTTTATTGCGTGAATGTTTGCCGACGATCAACAGTAATAGTAATTTTATTTTTGTAGTTGGGGGGGGGGGGGTTTAGGCTGATGCTCGCGTATCCTAACTTTCAAGCTCGTGGAGGACATATCGATGACTACTCCCTGGATGCTCTCTCATCGTGAAGCGAGACACATCGACTTCCTTAGTCTGAAGCACAATATCTCGGCCATCGAAGCCCGTCTGAACAATATTTTATGTTTGTAAGTAACGTCCGTCATCACCTACTCGCTAACGTGAAATTATTTTTCAACATTATTTCACTGCTGACGATCTGTGCTATCGTCTTTAACGACCTTCTGTCCATCACACCCTATTTCATCTAATATCTGTCTCCTGCTACCACTACGCGGTGCAACTCTAATCCTCAAGTAAACTTTTTACCTTCTTCTTTAGTATCCTTCCCGTGTACTGCGCTATCAGATTCTAAGGTACCGAAAGTCATCAAGTTTGGTAAGAGTAGACCCAGCATGGCACCCTGAATCACCCTGGCTGTAATAATTTCCCTTATGATCTATCCGTTATCTATCTCGTATATATACTACCTTCCTCTACCTACCTATTTCACAAGTAATTGTTCAACAACTTCAACAGAAATTTAAGCATACCAATGCCTGGAGGTCTTCAGTACGTCTGTCCACCTAATAGAGTAAAGGCATTCTTTATATCCAATGTTGCTATGAGCCCAATGGTCTCCTCGTCTAGTTTCGTTCATCTCGTTCGTTATTTGTCAAGGAGTACCAATCACGGAATTTCTCTTAGAATGCCGTCCGAAACAGAAGCCTTCGTTTCAATAATAGCTGGCCTTTTAGTGAACCAGATTGGCGTTTACGCCGAGCGTGGTAGCGTTGCAAATTCTTTTCAGCTTATCGTCCACGAGTAAATCTGTTTCCTTGTTGAGTTTCTTTAGATTCCACCTTGAAGCCCGAAATAGCGTTCTTTAAATTCATTCTACGCCACCTATCACCTCAAAATCGATGGTACCGGTAATTATCGATTACTCAACCATAGTAGTAGTAGTAGTAGAAGTAATAACAGTAGTAGTAGAGAGCTTCAGGAAGCTTCAGGGAATTGCAAACATTTTGAGTATAATCAGGCCAATTTCTAGACTAACGGAATTCCAAGCCCCGGTATTAAAGCCACTGTAGGGCCATCACTTGCTATATTTGTGTTTGCGTGCGCGCGCGTGCGTGTGCGCGTATGTGTACCTTTGCGCTTGATCTTCAATTACAGCGGCAAAGCTGAGGAAGCGAGATTGAGAAATTTACGCGCCAACTCGTTTCTTCTCTCTCCAAAGTGCACGCTATAGTCTGCCGGATAATAGATCGACACGCGCAGGACCCGTCACTCGCTCTATGCTGCAACTCGATCAACGTCTCCTCTCCCTCCCGAACTATATACAGTACATTCGACTATACTATCGCTGCCGCTATATTCGCACGTCATATCGAAAAAGCTCCTGCGC